AAGAACTTGTAGCATTCTGCCACAATTTAATTCTTCGCATTGTTAGCCGACACTGGGCAGCTTGTACATAATTGAATAAATAGAGTTGTTTAAACATTATAACACTACTATGTTGGATGAAGTTATTACATAAATGTACATAATTTCCCATTACTTTGTGACTTAAATGCAATTTAACTAACTAGCACCATACAATGCTAATATAACCTTCATTGGGCATACTTAATCTAACAAAATATCATTTTACTTGGCTGAAACTCATTAAAACTTAATTAAATTCAAATTTGCTAATTTGCTCACCAGTTGAAATAATGATATAGCTGATTACTTTTATTAGCAAAACATACTTATAAGAAATGTAAATGCTATTAATCTCAGACAATAGGTGAAGATCAAGAGAGTAGCAATTGCATTCCACATTCCATATGTGCCAAGGTCACATGTCCTTCTCTGTCCTGGTTTCCCAGCCTGAAGAGAGATGTCAGCACCATTCCAATGAACACAGAGCAAAATTCAAAATTTTTTTTCGTATCACAGTGAAACCCTAGCATTCTGACTAAAGTTTTTTTGACTGAACCTACCAAGACCAAAACAATTCTCCATCACTGAGGATATGTGTGGCATTTACTGGACCATTGCATAACTATGCTAATGCGCAGCATAGTTGGACTTTGATATTGATTTTAATCACCTTTTATGTGTGGTTCAGGTAGTCAGGTGTTACTTGGCATGCATGGCCCCTTTTCAACGTTCTTGAAATTGTTTATTTTGCCATGGGACCTCTCTTCTTCTTCTAGGGATCTTTTTGTTTTCTGTGTTTAGTGGATGGATTCATTAACTCATCCGGATTATCTATTCTTCCTTTGATGAAGATGCTTACAGGCTGTATCACATCTCCTTTCTTCAAATCCACCACTCAACTTACTGTGGTTTTGCACTTTTTTATAACCCTTGGATGAGATCCTCCAGGCCAGAATGTAGACTACACCCAACACCTTTAACTCACATTATCTCCACCATTTGGTAGTTTTGTCTCCATCTGGATTTTGCCTCCCTCCAACTC